GTGCGAGGGCCCGCCCAACGCTGCTTGCAGCTTTAATGTTACCATTATTTCTAATGGAACCGGACTTCTTTTTGCAAGAGGAGAATGCAGGTTTAAGGGACTTCCGCATTGGATTCACGTCTCAGACCAGAAGCTTCCTGCTTGTCAATAACCAGTGATGGGCAAGTTATTTAGAAATTGTAATGTATTACTAGTTACTTATTACTCCTTAAAAAAATGCAAACAATAACCCTAATTAAAAATGTGTTCTTCCCGTTAACGACTGTCCCCTCTCCCCGCAATGGTAAGCATTTAAAAGGAGTGTTGAATAAAGATGCTTATGTTGATTTTAGCTCTTAGTGTTTGGTGTTTTAATGGGAATGTGTCCACATTTTATTTTGTGTCATGTAATGTGGGGAACTGGTCTTGCTCTTGACTCGGTCTCACCCTCCCTCGGTCTTGGTCGGGGATTGAACAACCCCCTCTACCTCCCGAGCCACAGCCGCCCAGTTCAGACGAGAAACTGAAATCACCTGGGGAGTTTTGCACACTGGTATCTATTGCAGTATTGGGTATTTAGTAAAGCGTTGGGATTAGGCTAATACTTTTAAATGAGTAACTGATTAAGTTACACATTAAAAAGAAGGAAGTTCTTCCAAGTAATATTATAATAATACACAAACCAAAGTTGGGTACACTGTGCTACATGCCTTCAGGATTTACCATGGGAGTTCCTGGAGTGTAAAAAGTGAGTGAAAAGTCCGCCTGTGACCACAAGGACAGTGCGGATATGGTCAGAGGAGGCCTATGAGACACTTCAGGGCTGTTTTGAGGTGACAGATGGCATGCACTCTTTGAGCCGCATGGAGGGGAAAGTGATGCTGTTCACACCTGCCATTTGAATGTGTCTTCACCTTTTGGTCTTCACGTGTCTCGAGTGACCGTCTCACTGCAAATAAACACATAGCCTACATCATTTCCATTTGCTAACACTAAATGCATTGTAGTTTTTCATGCAAATGTTCAAATGCATCACACTGCACCGTTTCTGGGGGGCCGGGCCTTGCTGATTACTGATTTTGGTGAAACTGGATCTTATTTTAATGGAAATATATTTTAGCTTTACTTGTTGCTAAAGTAACCACTAACTGCTGCTAACTGCCATTAGCGCTGTTGGCTAGTTTACTAAGATGCTAGTGGTTTTATTAGCTTTAAAAGATAAATAAGGCTTGTTAAAACGCCTCCTCCCAGCGGTCCACAGCTGCTAAGTGTAAACAGCAACACTCCCCCGTTACTCCAAGCTCCTAGTCTGTACTCAGCTAGCATTAATAGTACCACTAGCTCCATGGCTAACTGAGCTAAACAGCTACGGTTAGCAGCAGTTAGCAGTAACTTTAAAATAAATCAGAAAACTCTGTAAATCACCAAGAGTTAAGTCAGAACAGCCAGAGGACATCAGACAACACGCTTTGCGTCATCCACGATAAACCATTTCCCCTGTTGTTGTGCGTTCTTCTTGTTTCACACTTCAGCTTACACAGAGGACATCAGCTGACTAGGCACATTCACATACACACTGCTTAATTAATATGGCCGGAAGCCCCAGACTGCGTCTGAATGTGCATCTCACACTCCGTCAACTTCTGTGTGGACTGCGCTGACGCAGCAAAGATTGTCAACTGTCATTTAATAAATAGCCATGTGTCACAAATCCTAAATGCAAAGAGGGCTTTTAGAGATTGTATTAGGGAGATGTGAGGACAGTACAAAGGGCCCTGAAAGTGAAGATAAGTGGGGCTAAAGAAGTGTACAGGAGGAAGCTGAAGGGGAAACTCCAGCAGAAAAACATGAAAGAGGTCTGGAGTGGCATGAAGATTATCACTGGTTTCAGGTTTCAGGCCAAAAGAGGATTTGAGGGCAGTTGGGCAGACATGGCCAATAAACGTACTGATTACAGATTTTAAATAGATTTAACACCATGGCCCCTGCTCACCCCCCTTGACTAATTGTCTTCCTCCAACACCTAGTCTTCAGATCCCCCCTCACATTTTCGCACCCCATCCTCCTGTAAAGGTCCTTCCTGAACCTCTGGTTCCCAGGCTAACTGCCCTCTCTACCCCCACCCCTCCACCTGTAACCTCTACAGTGTGCTTCACAGATGACCATGTAAGAAGACACCACTCAAGCAAAGCTGCAGGCCCTGATCTTGTCAGCCCAGGGGTGCTCAAAGCCTGTGGCCCCCCTCAGCTCTGTGGAGAGCTTCACCGTCTTTAAAGAGTCCCAGTGACTCCAAGGACTACAGGCTGGTGGCATTGACATCTCACATCATGAAGATCCTAGATTTGTGCTGGAGCGGCCATAGTTAGGTCACTATTAGACCCTTCGCCTACCAGCCTCGACTGGGAGTTGAGGATGTCATCATCTACCTGCTAAACCCTATCTACGCTCACCTGGAGCACTCTGACGGTCATGTTTTTTGACTTCTCAAGTGCTTTTAACACAATTACACCAGCTCAAATGGGTGAGAAGCTTACAGCAATGCAGGTAGATGCCCCCCTCATGTCCTGGATAGTCAACTACCTTACTTGCAGACCACAGTATGTGCGTTTACAACACTGTCGAACAGAGTGGTCAGTAACAACAATTTAGTTTTTCTTGTTCTTATTCCAGGACATTTCAGAGAAGTTATGCAAGACTGCTGCTGCCCTCTACAGGGAAAATAATAAAATAAAACAAGCACTGAAATAAATGAAGGGGAAATGTGATTATGTAGAAATATAAAAATATATCATCTTTATAAATTATGCAAGCACAAGGAAACAAAATAATAACAAAATAAAACAACTGAAGGATATTTTTGTTTGTCCATTGTGTGAGTTTGGGTCTCTTCCAAGAATTAAGACTGTAGACTTGAGGGAAAGTAAAGGAAACTAGATTAAAGAAAATTAATTAAAACTGTGAGTCACAAATGAAATAGTCTTTCTTTTAACTTTTCTTTTAATTATACTTCAAGAGAGCTCTGGAGGTGTCCGCATTCATGTTTTTCAATTACTGTGTGGTATTAGTAATGACGTCTGAAGATGACAAAAAGTCAGATGTCAAATGTTTATGGTTCTGCTTTTTGAAATCTGTCACAAGCATTAATGAACAGTATTCAGTCGTTGAAATACATCCTGATCTACAACGATCTGTGAAAAGGTGTTTAAGAAAGTTCACTGACAAAATGAGACACCTTGACATGAAATAACAGATATACCTTTATTTCTGGTATTTTATGCCAAGGTGTCCCATCCCTCGTCTTTGTCCTGACTGTCAACCAGACCATGCCGTGCTGAACCAGACTGTGTTGTTTATTGATTGCTGTTTATGTAGTGTTTATGTAGGCTACTGATCTCTGTGTATAAAATGACAATATTTTACCATACGAGCAGTACAGGTGGCTGTAGGGGTGAGAAGCCCTTTTGGTTAATATATTTTTTATCTGTTTATGTTAGGGAGGTAGGTGAGATGACTGTATTTCTTTTGTGGTTTATGTAAGTTAGGTTGATATCATAGATCAAGTCTTGTTTGTTGTTTTGGGACCTGCTCTTCCAAACTCCTATTTCTACCCTGATTGTTTGTACTGCATCCCTTGTGGCACTGGTCATCCTTGGGAGTGGGGAAAGAGGGGAGTCTTTTTGCTCAGGTTCCCCCTAAGCCTGGCGTAACATCATCTATACAGTGTGTGTTGGACGTCATTGGCTATAATAGTCCTGAGTACACACAGGTACAATTACACTTTTGTCACCTGCAGCTAAAATGCTAACTGAGCCTCTGAAAGGTGGCTTATGCAATTCTGGCGAAATCCAGTACAATGACAAGTAGACTGCTAAAGAGTGAACAATGACACAATGAACAATGACAGAAGCTAAGTTGTGGCTTAGGTGGCGATGGCGCAATGGATAAGACTATGCCTTTGGTGTGAGAGACCCACTGTGACCCATCCATTGTGTCCCGGAGCCACTAAACCCCTAGTTGCTGTATATGTATAGCATGAATAAAAGTGTGCAATTGTTGCTGCAAAGCTAACATGCAAGAGAACTCAGAATCAATGACTGCATTCTGTGACGTATTATCAAACAGTAAACAGTAGAGTAACACACAAATTAGTTTTGTGTCATGCACATGCAGTAATATTTACAGTACTTCTTATGTGGGTATATAATGCAGGAGTTCATAAATGGGGAAGGCAAGGCAATATTATTTTTAAATCCCATTTCATTACAGGTAAACGATATTTGCTTTACATTGCAATGCATACAGACAAGTGAGAAGAATATCATAAATAAAATACATTCAAATGGAACAATAACAAAAGAAGAGAGGAAAATATATAAAGTAAAACCATCCAAAAGACAAACCACAGGCACTGACATTCATATACACACAGCAACTAAGTTAATAGACCAACTGAAAAATAACTGTGTTAAAAGCAGCAGTAAGGAAATATTTAAATGGAGACGTAGTCGAGATGTTTTAGAATAACTTTTAATTTTAAGATCACTGATTATTTTGATAAGGGCTGTTACAGTGTGACAGTTAGATGTGAAGCGATACTGAAACACGTCATATACTCTGTCTGTAGAAACACAACTGCCCCTTTTTTATATACGATGTTTTCCAGTATTTTGCAAAGGTTTGAGATTGGGAACCAACAATTAAAAATGGGTAAGCTGTGTGATTCTCAACATGGATATTTTTTACTTAGTAAATTGTTTTATTTCATAGATGGGCATCTTACACAGAGTGTGGGAAAAGAGAACAATCTTAAACACAATCAAGTCCTATTAAATGATTTGCTGTTTCAGTTTCCACTTTTGCTCTACAGATGCAACTTAATATCTTTTCACATCCAACACAACACACAAACACAAAGGTTTAAAAACAACCTGTTTTCAAGTCTTTTTATGTAGATTGCTTAAGACAGATAATATCTGTGGTCTGCCTACTTCCCTTGAAGAGATACAGTTTGTTAATATTGCATTAGCATTACCACTGTGTGCACACAACGACTACCACGTCTCTGAGAAAAGACGACATTCCTTGCCAAACAGCTTTATTCTTGTTAACCTGTATACATCAAGAAAGGTGCAATGAAGCGACACCTTTTGATCATTAGTGTTTTGAAGTGTTTGGTTCTAACCACTCAAGGAGAAGGGGAAAAACAGGTAAATGATTTTGATGAAAAGGTGATTTTCTGTTATTTTCATGTTGCAGTTAGGGTAAAGAATTGGCATTCAAAATTTTCGTTCAAATTTGTGGTGAACGTCAGCACATGCACGTAAGGCTAAGAAATAGTTTAATGTAATTGTCTTTCAGTGTAATCGCATGGTTAAATGTAAATGTGTTTTTTAATATTTAAATTTAAAACTCAAAATATTGAAGCCCATTTCTGCCATTGTGATTAGAAAATAAGATCCTGTAAGTCATTATAATGAGAAACGTTCTCAAAATAATGACTTAGTGTCTCAAAATAATGAGAAACTTCAAAATAATGACTTAGTGTCTCAAAATAATGAAAAACTTCAAAATAATGACTTAGTGTCTCAATATAATGACTTAAGATACTAAGACATACTAAGTAAATATTTGCGTAGCTAATTATTTTGAGATACTAAACCATTATTTTCAGATACTATTAGTCATTATTTTGAGATGCTAACTAATTATTTTGAGAAGCTAACTCATTTTTGTGAGACATTGACTCATTATTTTGAAATGCTGAGTCATTATTTTCAGAAAGTTTCTCATTATAATAACTTACTGGATCTTTTTTCATCACAGTGGCAGAAGTGGGCTTCCATAGCGCCCATATACAAAACCACAATGAAGTTGGTTTGGACGTTTTAAATGTTTTGGGGGCGGTGTTCAACTTTTTCAACTAAGCTTTGCTTGACATAAGATTTTAAAAGTTTAAAGCTGCATAAGCAATTTCACACATTGCTCAGTCAGGAAATTATATGTTGAGGGCTTCACTACACTGAAATTATGTTTTTGTGGTGATGTCAGTAAGCTGCAGTCTATGATCTAAATTTCTTCTGTTAAATTAATAGTTGTAGTAGTATAGTTTTGGAATAAGCCTTATTTACTTTTCTTCCTGAGAGTTACTGGTACTTCTACTGCTACACATACAAACTGTAATGATTTTGTCTTTATTTAGCAGCTGACAACAGATGGATTTAACTTTGAAGAGTACAATGATACCATTGAGGATGAGGATCAGTCAACTCCTTGCAGTGTAAATGTGCCTGGATTCAATAGTATGGGCCTGATGATCACCTACATCATCGTGTTTGTTTTCAGCATGGTAGGCAACAGTGTAGTTGTCTATGTGGTTTGTTATATGAAGAAAGGCAGAGCCAGCACAGACGTCTACTTAATGCACCTGGCGATGGCAGACCTTCTCTTCTCTTTTACCCTCCCGTTCTGGGCCATCGATGTTCATTCTGGTTGGATCTTCGGCAACTTCCCGTGCAAACTTCTGTCCTGCTTTCAGGAGGCATCAGTTTACAGTGGTGTTTTCCTGCTGGCATGCATCAGTGTAGACCGTCACTTTGCCATAGTGAGAGCTACACGTGCCCTGTCCTCGCGTCACCTGTTGGTGAAAGTGACGTGCAGTATCGTGTGGCTGGTGGCTGGAATGCTGTCCTTACCTGTGGCAATTCAGAAGGAGAGCCTGCATATTGAAGACCTGGGTCAGTCCATTTGCTATGAAAACCTAACTGGTGAAAGCAGTCACCACTGGCGTGTTGGCATACGCGTTCTACGCCACACGATGGGCTTTTTCCTGCCACTGCTGATAATGGCTGTCTGCTACGGGTGGACTTTGGTGACGCTGTTTCACGCACGTAATCAACAAAAGCAAAAGGCCATGCGCGTCATCCTGGCAGTTGTGTTTGCATTTGTTCTGTGCTGGCTGCCTTATAACGTTACAGTACTGATTGACACACTCATACGAGGAGGATCAATTGAGGAGACATGTGACACTCGCTACAGAGTGGAATGGATGCTAAATGTGACCCAGCTGTTGGCCTTCATGCACTGTGCAGTGAATCCAGTGCTGTACGCCTTCATTGGGCAGAAGTTCCGTAACCAGCTGCTCTCAGCTCTTTACAAACATGGCCTCATCAGCAAGAGGCTCCAGGTGGCTTACAGGAAGAGCTCTTTCAGCAGCGTAGGGAGCATCAGATCTAGACACACGTCCACTACTATGTAATGATCTTCTGATAGATGATTATTTACATACAACATATTTGAAAAGACAATTTGCTTTCTTGCCAGTGGTTAGATGAGAAGATAGATACCACACTCATGTCTGTACGAGTCAATGCATAGCTGGAGCCAGCAGCTGGTTAGCTTAGCTTACCAGAAAGACTTGAAACAAGGCTATACAGTTAGCCTAGCTCTGTCCAAAGAAAACAAAATCCACCTTTGTACAAAATGACAATTAGCTTTTTTTTAAAACAGGGATCTTATACCAAAGTATTTCTTGACAGAGAGCAGTACTGTCCTTAAATTTTAGAGATGCTGCAGGTAGATGTTGCCTTGTATTGAACACAGAGACATGGGTGTGGAATTGATTTTCTCAAATAATTCAAGAAAGTGATTAAGCTTATTTCCAAAAATGCCAAACTATTCCTCATTTTGTAACCATGTTAGTAACCATTGGGCATTGGGTCATCCCCTAATGTTTAATTGCCATAACGAAATAATACCAAGGATGTACATGGTTCACATAGCTAGTGTCAAAGTTAAAATGAATACGTCGCTTCAGTGCTTCAGCTGGATGTCTGATATAGGATCCTGTCACAGCCCAGATGTGTACCCTCGGGAGGCAGTAAAAAAAACAACTCTATGTATGACATTGTTTGAAGTGTAGGCTAATTATTGAGTCCGACAAGTTTGCACTCCAGAGCAAAAAAAAAACTGAATGCTCAACCTCAAAAATATCAATCAGTTTTTAGTGGAGGAAAATGTGGCACACCATTACAGTAGTTCATGAGAAAGCTGTACAGTCATTATGGTGTGCCATACTTTCCCTACTTTCTCTAGATTTTATTGTTGATTATGTGAGTTTTACAAAGCCTGTGTTTTTTTCACATGTTTTTGTGGAACACTGGAAATGACTAGAAAGCCATTAAAACATTGTGAACTGTTTTTGCTATTCTTACACCAGAGAGTAGTGAACAATCACAATCAGATATCTTAATCTTTCAAACAGGAAGAGGTGGTGAAATCCGCTTTGCCTGCTGGTACTGGGTACATTTTTAATCAATGCTGTAATCAGAAAATGCTTTGTTTTTCATTGTCCACCCACTTGTTTTGCAGTTACATACATAAGAATTAAAACTTTTTCTGTTAATCTGAATGTCTACCACGATTATTTGAATGTCTGAGTATGTGCGGTTAGTACTTGTGGATATGATGAGTGTGTGTGTGTGTGTGTGTTTGTGTGTATGTGTGTGAGAGAATTTGTATACCAGTGTGGGTGGCTCTGTGGCTTACACATAGGAAGAAGGGGGCAATTGCGTTTCATGCAAAGTTGTGCAGCAGCTGTGGTTGCAAAACAAAATTACATGTAAAAGATGGGATGTTTTTCCATTTTCTGATCATATGAATTCTTACTGTATTCTTCTGTTCTTCTCAATATGCAAAACTCATTTGAAAAAGCCAAAATATACTCTTGAATGAAAAAAATAAAAATAGAACAATTTAAATAAATCCTTAAACCCTAAACAATGTGTGGTCTCCAATTTCCTGAGTCAAGTTGTGTGACACTTAATTGTTTAATTCATTAAATTAATTATACCACTTGTGTATTATATTAATCTAATTGGATTGAGGAGGAAGTCCCCTCTCATGGCAAAAAGTATTTAAGGTTACATATCTGACAGCTCTCTCCAAGCAATAGGTAAAGTGTTGTATGTTTTGACACTCCCTGAACACCCAAAATTGTCCATTGTCTATTAAATGTGGGCCTCTTTTTACACCATGTGGAAATAGGTTTCTAATCAAAAAACTAGACACTGAATTGCTGTCAAAAACAAACATGATTAAACACTTTCTTATGTTGTCCACATCCTTGTAATGTTTGTGGTCTGGTCTTCTGCTAATTACCACATGATTTCACCATAGAAGAGTTTTTCCTATATGCACTGTTGCAACCTGGCTAACTAGCCCTGACAATTAGAAAGGAAATGGTTATTAAAATAATGATCAAATTCATATAGAACATGTATAAATAAAGGAAAAACACACATCTGTGTGACGTTTAGTCAGTGTGAGTTGTGACTGTGAGTGGATGTATGAATAAAGTGTTGGATAGCTGTTTTTATGAGACTGAGGACAGCTGATCTTAAATTCATTCTCAGAAACTGGCCAGTTGCATACACATCAGTATTTATTTTGTTACGTTTTTCCTGTTAGAAGGAAGTAGGCCTACTACCCAAGCACATATGTTGCTCTGTACAAAGATTAGTGAGAGGAGAGAGTGACCTTTGCTTGCCTTATAAAAAAAAGAAGAAATAAATAGAGGAAGTAACGTTTTTAGAAAGTATTTACTTTGTGTCTAAAAATTATAATATTGTGAAAAGTACATTTTTCCCCATGTTGTTTAATTAAAAAAAAAGTGAAACTTTCATATATTCTAGATTCACTACACATAAAAGGAAAAATTCCAGTTGTTTGTCATGGAAATCAAAAACCCACATATCAATTTATTAGAATATTAGAATAAAGAATTAAAAGCCAACCTGAGAAGAGCCTTTAGTCTCTCAGTCTGGTTCAGTACACACAACCACAATCATGACGAGGCCTTCTGACATGACACTTGTGACATTTTATTTGGAAACCAAGGTCCCAGAGTCTGGAGGATGAGAATCCAAGTTGCTTGAAGTCCAGTGTAAAGTTTTCACAGTCAGTGATGATTTTTAGGTGTCATATCATCTACTGGTGTTGGTCCAGTGTGTCTCATCAAGTCCAGAGTCAATGCAGCGTCTACCAGGAGATTTTAGAGCAGTTCGTGTTTCCATCTGCTGACAAGCTTTATGGAGGTGCAGGTTTCCTTTTCCAGCACGACTTGGCACCTGCCCACAGGGCCAAAATGACAAATAACTGGTTTTCTGACCATGGTATTACTGTGTTTGGTTGGCCAGTCAACTAACCTGACCTGAACCCCCACAGAGAATCTATGGTGTATTATCATGAGGAAAATTAAAGACACCAGACCAATAATACAGTCTAGCTGAATGCCGCTATCAAAGCAACCTGGGCTTCCAGAACACCTCAGCGGTGCTACGGGGCTGATTGCCTCCATGCCACATTGCATTTATGCAGTAATTCATGCAAAAGGAGCCCCGACCAAGTACTGCGTGCATAAATGAACCTTTTTCAGAACTCTTCAACTTCTCAGAAGGTCGACATTTCTGTATCATACGTATCTACAATATTCTAATATTTTCAGATACAATTTTTGATTTCCATGAGTTGTAAGCCGTAATCATCAAGATTAAAACAACAAAATGAATAATTCACTTTATATGTAATGAATCTAAAATATATGAGTTTCACTTTTTGACTGAAATTATGGGGAAAATAATGCACTTTTTCTGATATTGTATTTTTTTTTAGATGCACCTGTATATGCTTTTTAATGTTAGCTCTGTCTGTCAAGATGTTAAATTCTACTATTTTTTTTAGATTATCTATTACTAAAAATGTTAAAAATCCATTGCCACTTATCTCACTCTTTCTATGATCCCTCTGATCTTATGAACAAGTGAACGGACAAATCCTAAAAATGATCAGGGTAATGGTTTTAAATGGTTTCATCCCTGTGCAACTGTGTGTTACTGTTTGAAATTACTCAACGCTTCACCCAAGGACAATTCTGCATGTTCCTGAATGAGATCTAGCCATCCCATGTCATTAGACATAAGGCCCCTCTGCCAGGAGGTGGAGCTGTTTTCCAATCAAGTCACCGAATCATTAGATTTGGGCTGAGACCATAACTCAACCGACTTTAAAGTGAGCAGAGGTCTGATTAACCAAAGAACACCTGTGTGGGCAGTGGAGGAAGTGAAGTATGCAGAGACAAGTATGGTGCACATCCTTTGTGTTTAATAAAATTATCAGGCATATCGGAAACCTGGGGCAGGGTAGTTTTCCAGTGTAGAAATACTAATTGGTTTCTGGGACCCATACTCTGTACATAAAAATGTATAACACTAAAATTAAATATTACTACTATATACCCTTATATATATAATTAAAACCTAAATCAGATTTTAAAGCTGCTGTTTCCCGAGTGGGCGGGGCCAAGCCTGTACGTAGGCGGATATGTTACCATAGTAACAGCATAGTCGCAGCTCTGTTGACTCTCTGCAGCAGCTAACTTCGTGTGAATAAACTAAAGTGGTCTGCCGATCAGTTGTTTGCCACCGAGATAGAGCGCTCACTTCAGGACCACTAAGGTAATCGAGATCTTTAATGAAGGGTGATATTCCTGAGGTGATGTCTAAGGTTATCCTGTTATAGCAACGACGGTAACGTTAGCGGTGAGAGCTACAGAAAGCGACGACAGCATAGCTTTACTGGCGCAGTAGTACTTCCGTTCTTTTTCAAAATAAAAACCCAGTTTAGTGAAACCAGCTGCTTTTGACAGTAGCCAGCGTTTTAGTGTGTCGTGAAGCTGTAATATGAGTCTTGCTGACGAGCAAATATGCCTTAAAACACTGTTGAAACTTTGCTATAACAACATTTCCGCGGAGCCTACTGAGTCTGTGAAAGAAAACAAAAAATGTTGATGTGAAAATTATACATCCATAGGATTTCCACGACCCCCGCTGGCTCTACAAGATCCTCATGTAGTCTGTTGAATGTTTGTCACATACATATACACTCACCTAAAGGATTATGAGGAACACCTGTTCAATTTCTCATTAATGCAATTATCTAATCAACCAATCACATGGCAGTTGCTTCAATGCATTTAGGGGTGTGGTCCTGGTCAAGACAATCTCCTGAACTGCAAACTGAATGTCAGAATGGGAAAGAAAGGTGATTTAAGCAATTTTGAGCGTGGCATGGTTGTTGGTGCCAGACGGGCCGGTCTGAGTATTTCACAATCTGCTCAGTTACTGGGATTTTCACGCACAACCATTTCTAGGGTTTACAAAGAATGGTGTGAAAAGGGAAAAACATCCAGTATGTGTCAGTCCTGTGGGCGAAAATGCCTTGTTGATGCCAGAGGTCAGAGGAGAATGGGCCGACCGATTCAAGCTGATAGAAGAGCAACTTTGACTGAAATAACCACTCGTTACAACCGAGGTATGCGGCAAAGCATTTGTGAAGCCACAACAAGCACAACCTTGAGGCGGATGGGCTACAACAGCAGAAGACCCCACCGGGTACCACTCATCTCCACTACAAATAGGAAAAAGAGGCTACAATTTGCAAGAGCTCACCAAAATTGGACAGTTGAAGACTGGAAAAATGTTGCCTGGTCTGATGAGTCTCGATTTCTGTTGAGACATTCAGATGGTAGAGTCAGAATTTGGCGTAAACAGAATGAGAACATGGATCCATCATGCCTTGTTACCACTGTGCAGGCTGCTGGTGGTGGTGTAATGGTGTGGGGGATGTTTTCTTGGCACACTTTAGGCCCCTTAGTGCCACTTGGGCATCGTTTAAATGCCACAGCCTACCTGAGCATTGTTTCTGACCATGTCCATCCCTTTATGGCCACCATGTACCCATCCTCTGATGGCTACTTCCAGCAGGATAATGCACCATGTCACAAAGCTCAAATCATTTCAAATTGGTTTCTTGAACATGACAATGAGTTCACTGTACTAAAACGGCCCCCACAGTCGCCAGATCTCAACCCAATAGAGCATCTTTGGGATGTGGTGGAACGGGAGCTTCGTGCCCTGGATGTGCATCCCACAAATCTCCATCAACTGCAAGATGCTATCCATCAATATGGGCCAACATTTCTAAAGAATGCTTTCAGCACCTTGTTGAATCAATGCCACGTAGAATTAAGGCAGGTCTGAAGGCGAAAGGAGGTCAAACACAGTATTAGTATGGTGTTCCTAATAATAATCCTTTAGGTGAGTATATGGTTTGCTATACTTGTCTTGTCATTAAGAACGTATTTGCATGCTGTCATTTTGAAAGGGAAACCCTGACACCGGAAGTCGTAATGTAACAAACACCGACGACTTCCCACCTTATCTTTAGCCATGTTGTTATCACTGAGTAATATTTTAACATTACGCGCTGTAAATACTGTACCTAGGTAGCAGTGTCTATAGGTGGGTATACATATAAACCCGCGCAGAAAAGTATCATCAGGTTTCACTTCGTTCCAACTAACGTCAGCCCCGTTTGCTAGCTAACGTTAGCTAACCAGGTGTAGCCTTCAAGTTAACGTCAGTCACGCGTTGCCTCGACATTTAGCGACGTTAGTCTAGTTTTAAAGTTTGTCTCCAGCAGGGTCTGCGGAAGGCAGGATGTCGAATGATGTTGCCGGTGTGTGGGAGGTGGCGCTGAGCGATGGAGTCCACAGGATTGAGTTTGAACATGGCACGACCACCGGAAAGAGGGTCATCTACGTTGATGGAAAGGTATTGATCATGGTCTTCAGTAACGTTAACGCAGAGGAGGGAGACTAACTTAAACGCATTTAATTATAAACCCTGACCCCTTTTTATGAACCCCGGCTTCATTCATTACAAGGCCAGCTCTACTGGCAGCTGTTGATTTGTGATTTCACATCCCAATGCAGGAGATACTGAGACGGGACTGGATGTTCAAACTTGTGGGGAAGGAGACATTCAGTGTGGGCAAATCAGGCACCAAAGCAACGATCAACATTGATGCAGTCAGTGGTTTTGCCTACGAGTACACATTGGAGATCAACGGGAAGAGCTTGAAGAAGTACATGGAGAACAGATCAAAGGTCACCAGTACCTGGGTTCTCAACTTGGACGGCATTGACTGCAGGGTGGTCCTGGGTGAGCCTCTCTGTGTTTGTATATTATTCCTACTGTCCTGATCATGTAGTTATTATGTCACTGGGTATTATGCTGTTTGTTTTTTCATATAGCCTAGCCAGATATTTATGATATGAATACTGAACAGTACAGTGAGTTGTTTTGGGTAAGAGCACCTACTTGTCGCTGTAAGTTAAGTGTTAGTCTTGTGGTTTATTTGATCGTTCATGTAATCAATCAGGATAGATACTGGATTGATTTCTGCCCCTTCACAACACTAAGATTACGTTGGAGCTGAGGCTAAGCTCTTTAACAGCTTTAGGCCCATCGCCATCTTCAGCCACCTCTGTCATCTGGACGAAGTTAATCCTTCTTATAATTACACTGCTTACAGTTGATCAGGCGGCATACCACCTGAAGCATGTGCAACACATAAGAACTACTGTACATTAGTATACATTGGTTATCTATAAATCTCAGCAGTAAAAGAATCAGAATAATTCACTGATATGTGTGTGTGTGTGAGCAAGTGATCCTGGTCACAGAGTTCAGCTGTTGTTGATGATAACCTATCTTGTCTTAACCAGCTGAAACTTGGTGTTGCCTTTTGTGGTTTTTTCTCACTCACTCACTGGCAGCTCTGACAAACTTCAGGGTGATTACATATCCTCAAGATGTCGTTGTAAGCAGTCAAAATAAAACCCTACAAATATTCAAATGAAACTCCCAGCCAGATAAAAGTCACTTTTGAATTTGAGAAGCTGAACAATGTAGAATAAAAATGCACTTTAAGCTATCAAAAGCTATAAAATGTGACAGGCGAGAACTGTGTTTATAAGGAATTTTTTTTCATATAAAAACATTTGCAACTGCCACACAGACTTTATAGAGGCAAATTATCACGTTACAAACTAGGGAATGACTATTGTGACGTTTACTATTTTGAGATCATTCATCTTCCTTCATCATGTGTTTTGTGTCACCACACCTCTAGTAAGTGTCTCCCCCAGAGGTGGCCCAACATTAGTTATCAGCGAAACACAAGTGAGGCCTTCCTAAATGGTGCCATCATGATAAAGCAGTATTGTTCTGTTTCTTATTTTACCAAACACAGGACCCTCCTTAAACAAAGAGCACATTTATAAACTAACATATTTAGCATATTTAGTTGATACCTAGAAACATAAAAAGCAAGCGTTACAAATGTTGTTCCTTTACAATGAAAAACAAGAACATATGATTGAGAGTTTGGAGGGGTGTGATCATTTCCTGTTTTTGTGATTTGTTTCAGTGAAGTGATTCAGAGGATTCTAAAGATATGTTATCTTGATTTAGTTCAGTTGGAGGTTTCCAAATAAATGGTTTTTTTTGCTTTAAAAACATCTTCATTAAAATTCTATTTACAGATTTAAACAAATAATAAATGTGTATTAATACTAATGTAATAGTTAGATTGATTTTGACCCCAGTTTCTCCACCACTGAGAAAGTTTTCCCATATTCTCTGAGGTTAGGAAATAATTATTATCTCAAAATCAAGACTTAGTTGTTTCTTAGAACTTAATAAAATAGATTCACATGTTCTTGCCATTATATTTACCATGATTTTTATTTTTAGGTGATCAGTTTGTCAAGCAAAGAATGCAAGTGATTCATGACACAGCAGGTGGGGCGCTGTAGGAGCTGCAGCTCCCCCTGTTGACCAGATTGAAACACAGTGGAAATATAATTTTACTGTTTCAAATTTTCAGTTACCTTTCAAGTGCTGTGGATCCATTATCCTCTTGTAGTTCAAGTATGAAAAATTTAAAGCTGAAGAATAAACCAACATCCTGCCGATCCTGATCTAGCTGCTAAATATCACTGGCCATAGCAAATAACATAAAATAGTATATTTATTCACCATAATATGTTTCTGCATGGACAGAACCGGTACAGATCAGGCCATTGATCTCTTGCTTGTTCTGGAAAACCAGAAGGTGAGATCAGATCTGTACACATACTGCGACGCGTTTAGCAGTCACGTCAAATACTTTTATTGCCCCACAGCTGCATGTTTGTTTGACTCGGTGTCTGTTTTTTTTCTTTCAGAGAAAGACACCATGGATATTTGGTGTAATGGACAAAATATTGAGACTGCGGTAAGTATAGCAGTAACTGACACTGATCTGTTATGCAATGAAGGGTACATCACTGGATTTAAGAAGTTATGTGCTGATTCTAATGCCAAGGGAAATCCAAATCAAATCAGAAACCACAGCACTATAAACAAAAACAAATGGGTAAAGAACGCCTCAAACACCCTGTGGTTCCACAGTTGTCTGCATATAAGCATCCACACTTTGACTTGCCCTCCTGCAGGGGGAGTTTGTGGATGATGGCACAGAAACACATTTCACCCTCGGAGACCACAACTGCTGTGTGAAGGCTGTGAGCAGCGGGAAGAGACGAGACGGCATCATTCACACGCTGCTCGTGGATGGCACAGAGATAGCTGAGTGCACAGAGTGACTGTGTGTGTTTACATTTATATGAAAGCGGAGATCTGGTCTGTGTGTGACTCGGTATCTGTGAAGAGTAGAAGTTATCTGAAGCTGTTAGAGTCGGTGACCAGCTGATAGAAATATGCGCTCCTGTGTTTGGAGGGCCACGCTCTGGAGGGTATGTTAGCCATATGCTGGTACTGTCAAGCTTGTGCTGTAGTTAATATAGTACGAGTTGAAGACAGGACCTGCAATCTGGGCAGTTTTAGAAGAGAGGGTGCAGCCGTACATTTCAGTCACAAAAAAGGATTTACTGTCTAAAATGGTAACTTCACACTGAAACACTTTTTTTGGGGTTGTAAACTGGTACTTCATATTGATATAAATACTATCACTTTCAGTAATATCAACATTGGAAGCCACATGTGCCAATTTATTGAACTCTGTTTGCCCTACGGTCGTTAACACGAGCAGCTGATATTCTCTTAGAGATGTACTACATATTGTCATTTTGTAGAAAACGAGCAACCACTTTACACATGGCCTGGCCCAGTAAACCCCAGAATCCACCAGTTCTCCCTGCTCTTCATGCTCGCTTCTTGTATATGTCAACGTTGTGTAGTAGGAGTATTAAATACCAGGGTACAAGATTGTTGAATGTAGCATCGTCCCAGTGTGCACCGCTCAGGACTGATCTATGTGTGGTCCTATGTCGAAGTGTGTGATTGGTTCAGCCAGTTGATGTTACGGTAATATGTAAATAGCCGCTGTGGATTGGTCAAAACATCCTAGGGGGCGCGTTCTGCAATTTAATGGCTGTAACATTTACATAGACA